ATATATATATATATATATATATATATATATATATATATATATATATATATATATATATATTGAGTGTTGTCCTTGATGGACAACACTCAAATATATATACACTCTTCTTCATATCCTGTAACTTCAACACTTTTCTTCATATCCTGTAACTTTAGGGGTTTCTCAAGCTTTAATCCTTGGCCCTATACTCTTTTTAATTTACATTAACGATCTTTCTGATATTCTCACATCTAAGGTGCCATTGTTTGCTGGCGACAATACCATTTAATCTTGTCATGATAAAAAGCCTACACTCTCTGATTGCTTGGAGGGGGTATATAAGCTTGAAAAGGATCTCACCTCTGCTACAGCATGGGGCTCACAATGGCTGGTGAACTTTATTTCAGATAAAACTCAATTTTTTTGGCCAATTGTTTTTGCAATAGTTTAGATTTTCCTATATTTATGAATGATAATGTACTAGATGAGTCATCTACCCTTCATCTTCTAGAATTAACTTTTACTTCTGATCTTTTTTTTGAACCGTATATCATATCCATTGCAAAATTAGCGTCTGCTAAGGCTGCATCTCTTTATCAAGCTCGACACCTCCTTACTCCAGATTCTCTTCTCTATCTCTATAAATCTCAAATCCGTCCCTGTATGGAATACTGTTGCCATATCTGGGGCGGATTTTCTAATGATGCCCTTTCTTTTTTAGATAAGGTGCAAAAAAGTTTTTGTAAACGCATTGTAAACATAGTTTACAATGCGTTTTACGTCATAGTTTAAAACGCATTGTAAACATAGTTTACAATGCTCTTGCAGCCAATCTCTGACCACTGTCACATTGTCATGATGTTGCTTCTCTTTCTCTTTTCTACAAGTAATAAAATGGGCACTGCGCTAAAGAGCTAGCATCCCTTGTTCCATCTACTAAAATTCTTTCTTGTGTCACTCGCCATTCAATCAAGTCTCATCCTTTTTCTGTGACTGTTTCTAAGTGCTCCGAAAATTCTTATTCCTCTAGTTTTTTTCTTTGAACATCAGTTCTTTGGAATTCACTTCCTTCATCTTGCTTTCCTGATTCATATAATTTGCAATCGTTTAAGTCATCTGTCAATAATTTTCTTGCTCTACGAATTCTATCTTTTCTCTTCCAGTAACTTCCAAACTCTTATAGTGGTTGCTGGCTGCCTTGTTGGAAGCGAAGGTGTAATATTTATATATATATATATATATATATATATATATATATATATATATATATATATATATATATATATATATATATATATATATATATATAAATTATAATAGCATATTGTTTTTTAATTAAATAATATATAGTCCTACATTCCCTACATTCATTTACTTACTTATCTTAAGAAAAATTAAATATAAAAAAGGTTTAAAGTTGAGAATAGTTTTGATCTTTACTAGTGTGATTCTATCGCCAAGTTTCTTGAATGTGAACAATCATTTCTCGATACAAATGTTGCAAAAAGTCGTATGTTTTTTATTATGGTTGAATGTTTAGTTTTCTTTTTAAGGGTAAATTACTATCATAAATTACATAAAAAATTTCGCTCTGTATTTATATACATAATGCTCACTTTACAAATAAACATAATTTACACAAAATTTTTGAATTGATTAAAACACTTATGTATTGCTTCTATGCCCAATATAACTTACACTAAATTGTCCCATTCAATTACACTAGTGTTTTAGTCTTTTGAATTTAGAAATAGAAGTTATTAAATGTTGGTGGCTCATCATGCAGTGCATATGAGAAGGGCATGCTTTCAAAGTCAATATAATTTTACTATAAATAGAGCATTTTTATTACCGCAATTATATTGCATACGTGATATACATAAATATATACGCTGGTCACAACAATCCAGTCAAAAATTTCTTTAAAAAAATCAATTTAGTGTTGAGAAGTTCGTATTTTTTGATGTTTGATGTTATGTTTGTAAAATAATAATTATTTATATGTGTGTGTGTGTGCGTGTGTTTTTGTGTGTTATTTCTTTCTAACCCCTTTATTTTTACATACTTATCTTGACAATATTTTTTTAGGGTTAAGACTGCTCCCCTGATTCCTACAGCAAAAAAACAACTTTAAAATGCTGGTGATAATATTTTAAAGAGTGCACCTGATCGAAAAGAAGGTGAATGACGTCAACTGTTCAAACATTCGATTCTTGGAAATTAACAAGTGGAAGAAGAAGTTTATAAAATTGTAATTTATAAAACTCATCACAATTATATTATTAAAAAATTTAAACGATTTATTATTTTTTTCTTATTCTCAAGAAGTTCTGTGAAAACATATATTTGAACCTTACGTTTAAGTAAAGCCATGTAAAAACACGTATTTTAGACGTCGAAATGAGAACGTCTAAATTAGGTTATTTAAAGACGTCATTTGGCGTTTCCATTTAGCACTAGTTCTGAACGTCCTAAATTCACGTATTTTAGACGTCTAAAAACACGTCTTTATTCCGTCCTAAAAAGACGTATTAATTACGTCTTGAAAAGACGTCATCTGGCGTTGCCATTTAGAACCAGTTCCGGACGTCCTAAAAAGACGTCCTTTCGACGTCATATGGAAGTTTCCGTGCCCGCTGGGTTGTTCCTAGGCTCCTATCTAGGGATGCGGAGTCTCAAAAAGGATTCCGGATTTGAAAGTTACAAAAAGATCACTTTATCCTAGTTTTTGGTATCCAGGAGCTCTAAAGATTTAAATAAGTTTATGAACTACGTTAGAGGAGCGAACCCGAAGTCCTTAGGTATAATGGCGGCAAGGACTCCAGGACTCCGGGCTTAAAAACAATAAGTTTCAAGTCATTAAATCTCATGAATTTTTTTTTTGTAGCAGATCATCAGTCAACAAACATGTTTATAGCATGTTTACATCAGGTGTACTTTTTTTATTCTGCTACGGTGTGCCTACCGAAGAAAATATTTTACCTAGATGCTTTTAAAACTTTAGATGATTTAGAACCACAGTCTGATAAATTAGAAAATATATTGAAAACATATGTCTGTGACTTATACGGGGCTGAACAAGAAGAACCAGTTAATTCCGCTCGTAACAAATTTAAGTCTTGTAAACTCAGCAAGGTTACAACCAAATAAAGATTCGCTTGTTTTACACATTAATAGAGCTAATTATAAAAACTTTTATCAAAAGAGATCACATGTAGCAGTGAATAACCCATTAAGTCAAGGGAATGGTTGGTTTAATGATCAAGGTTCAATTACCATATCTTGGTTAGAATTGCCTGCTGCACCAGCAGCGCTTGATTTAGTTCACTATTATTGCCGTGATTGTTTCACTAGAAGATGTTCTTGTAATAATGCTTGTGTATTTAACCTAGATCTTTGTAAATGTAAATCATGGTGATAACCATTAAGAAGTGGATGATGACAACCAATCAGATGAATCATATGAGTCTGCGTCTGATAATGATAGTAACTTAGATTAGATTAGAAAATTGTAATAAAATCTGCAAGATAAACATCAGCGGCTGTAGTATATGTAGGAAATTTGGTTAATAATAATATTTCTGTTTTAATTACAGTCATATTATAAAACATTGCATGAAAATGGCAAATGGCAAGTCTTCTAAGAACACAGATTAAAAATAAAAAGGTCTAGAACTTAGATTACCTATGTCAAAAAGCATTCAAGTTTTAAGATACTTTTGGTAGTTGTTACACGATGATTACAATGATTACAATGATACACAATGTTACAACTATTGTTACACAAAACAATTCAGAATAGCAATTAGCGATTGCAAAACAAGCAATTACCTTTTGCGAATTGCACAAAAACTTATAACGAAAGTATTCCCTTGAGAGAATTCCGCACGAGGAATTCTCGCTTAAAAGCCAGTGCGCTAATTTAAATTTTAGTAGTTGAAGTTTTTTGAAATATAAAACTCTGTATAGTGAAACTATACAGAGTTTTATACTAGTTAATATACTTTATAATTTATACTTTATACTTTTATACTTTATACTTTATACTTTTAAACTAGTTGTGATAATTTAATATGAAAAAATTGAAATAAATATTAAATAAAAATCATAGTCGAATTCTCTTTATAATAAATATAAAGACAAAACATTACAGTAGTTAACTTAAGAATATACATAAATTAAATTTGAAATCAAAATTATTAATTATTTGGGCGTAATTAAGGGGAAAAAAAATACATTTTTATTAGAAACCGTCCTGGTTAAAACTATAGGTTTCTATATACACCAAAACATAGACCTCAATTATCCGGTTATTGGGATCATGAAAATCGGGGAACTTTTTCTTGTGATTAGTTTGAAAAAAACTTTCTTGAAATTTAGTTTTTAAATATTTATAACGAACGTCTTTTTTTTGAAATCTTTTTCTGCAACAGACGCCGGCCTATAGCTTTAAACATTACAGATTGAAAACGGGTGAAAAATAAAACGTATATTATATTATCGGTATTATTTAAACGTTTATTATCGGTATATATTATACGTATATATTAGCTGAATTAGCAGAATATTATCGCCAAAAGTAGTTTCTAAAAAGCCGCAATTTTTTTTAATTTTGTGGCGCAGTGAAAAATGCCACAAAATTAAATTTTTAAGTTACTTGTTTTAATAACACCGAACTACTTTGTAACAAGTTATTAGACCGAACTACTTTGTAACTAGTTATCAGTCACCAATGGAATGGCCTTTTATTCAGTTTTGTTATTTAACGGCAATAGAATGGAATCCCAAATAATAATAATAATTTTTTTATATAAGTAAATTTATTATAATGTCTGTATTTAATATAAGTGCCATCAAACCTAAATGTAATATGCCAATTGTATAATTAAACTATAAAATATGTTATATACTATACAACTAATACCACTCTCAATTCCCGAAATATTCCTGACCTTATTTTAGCTTTATAAAAACTGTTTTTGAATTCACCTTAAATCTTTTAACCTGATAAACAGCAAAATTGAGTTATGCAAATTATTTTACAGATTCACTCAGTTTGTAAACAGAATTGGACAACTGACAATTGACAAAAGTCCATAACATTGCCTTAGATGTTATAATGCTGCACACTTGGCCAGTTGTTTAGGTATACTCAAAAGGTCAGTTTTTTTTAAAAAA